TATCATGATGGAGGTTCTATCCAAGCCAAGAACAACAAAGGTACAAAATCACGAGTCTTTTCTATTTTTCCTTATTGAAAGAAAAATAATCACATACCTAACAAGTGCTGGTGGAGGCCTGATATGCAAATCACAATCAGAAGAAGCCGTCAAGATTATAGAGGATGAAGTAGAAGGAGAGCTTCTCCTTGCATCAACATGCTTTACAAAAACAAATCCACAGGTTGACTTATAGACAGTGGTTGTACAAACAACATGATTCATGATCGAGAATTTTTCAAAAAGCTCAACAAATCACATATTTCTAAAGTGAAAATCGGTAATGGAGAACAAATGGACGTGAAAGGTACACGAACAATTGTAGTTAAAAGTCATTCGGGTGTAAAATTAATTTTTGATGTTTTATATGTTCATGATATTATTAATTATAATTTGTTAAGTGTTGCTCAATTATTGGAGAAAAGTTATAAGGTGTCTTTTGAACACAAACTTTGTGTGATGAAAGATACAAATAACTTGAAAATATTCAAAGTTCACATGAAAGGAAAAATGTTTCACTTTAGATTTGATGAAAGAAGAGTTGATTACAAACAAAGATAAAAGAAAAGTAAAAGAAAAAACATGAAGAAGATTTCTTGAAGAAACTTGATGTTAAGGAGGAAAATAAAGATGTAGATGAAAAAACCGTTTTCAACATCCATCAAAGAGTCAACAATACTACCATGAAGTTTGAAAGAAACAAAGGAGATGAAGTTGATAAAAGAAGAAATACTTTGATGAAGAAAATGAAGATGAACGAAGATGTGATCCCATACAAAAAGGAAGATGACAAGAAGTACAAACAAAAAAGGAGGAAAAATTATAAGTAAAATAAAAGAAAGAATATCAAATTCAAATAAATAGATATTAAAGTAAGGAGGAATGTTGAGAATATTACTTTATTATCTTTTATTTAAATTAGGTATTAAGAGATTTTATTATCTTTTAAGAGAGAAGGTAAAAATATATTAGGTTATTATTTTGATTTAGGCAGTTATGATTGAGATATTATTAATATTTGATATTTTGTAATATTTTTACTCTATATATACATAGAGTATATTAATAGAAATATACCCACATGATATATCAGAAATAAACATATACAAAACCCTAAAAATTTCCAACCGTCACAATCGATGAGATGATTGATTATACTTGTAAATCTCTCTCATAAATCCTTAATGAATAGTTCAGGTTACATACAAAACAACTCATATTCTTTTATACCAATGTATGCTTTCTTGTTCTCATCACATCTTTTATGTGTCAATTCAAAAGTATCCCACAATTTTTTAGTATTAGTACACCAAGAAACACAGAAGAATTCATTTATAGCACAAATTATAACATATTTTACTTGGAATCACACTAATCATCAACATCAATTTATTTAGCCTAATGCCATCCCAAATGCCCTTATCATTGATTCAATAAAAAATTTCATCCTTACTTTCTAGTTCATCCCACTAAACTAATGTGATATATTAATAGATGTACTTTCATCAAAAGAAAACTTATTCTCAATCAATTTTAGAAAGAAAAAAAACTTGAGTATTTTGTAAAAATCCACTTGTGATACCAATTGCTATAACAACTAAATTCAACAAAGAATTAATTAAAATTTTAAATATTTTTTACTATAAATAATAAATTTTCTTTAAGCCAATATAGATCACAAATGATTGAATAAACTAAATACCAATTATTAACAAAAATAGTGATATATAATAATATGAATTATATATAAAAGAGACAAGATAAAGGAAGAAGCATATAACATACAAAAAATTTATATTAATTCACATTCTTGTGAGAATTACATCTAGTCATCCAATTACATCAATGGAGTTTGTTCACCAATCTTTCATGTTTAATGTAGGAACATTACCAAATAAACACACAACCATGTTATGAATCCTACAAGATTAACACCACCTTTCATGAAACCCCATCACAAAGTAACCCTTAGCTCTCATACTTTCTTCTATGAGAGGGACACACGAAATCCATGAACTTTGGAATCAGTGTCAAGGGAATATCTTAGTTGATGGCATAAGATCATAGCATTAGACCAAGTAGTAGTCAATCTAATGGCTTTAGATCATATGAAAGGTTTTGCTGGTGATTGACGGTCATCTATTGATAATGCATACCTAATAGAATCGTTTGATGGTTTAACTTGTCTTGTGAGGATATATAGAGCATATTGTGTCATGATCCATTTATGTGATCAGAACAAAGGTTGTTTTATTTGTCGTGACCTCTCTAAAGTGTTTTTTTTTTTTCATTTTATAAGAATCATATCTCAAAAAACTTGCTGCAAAATTAGGTGTCTAAATAAGCAATTCAATTCTGTTTAACAATGTTACCCAATAAATTTGTGCCAATATGACCCGACTTATATTCTAAATGGGTGTCAAATTTTAGAAATAATCCACTTAAAAAAAGAAAAATAAGTAAAAAAAATGTATTTTTAAAATTTTAGCCATGCTAATTGAATTAACTTTTATATTAGATATAATTATTTGATATACATATGTATATTTTAATAAAATATTTTTTTAAAGGTCAAACAAAAAATAATTCTATGTAATTTAAGAAAAATTCATTTATCTTGTATGTTATATATTTCTTAGCTAAACTCTTTTAATAGACATACAGTATTAACTCAAATACATATATTATTATAAATAGGTTATGAATGCACAGATAATTCTTTTTTCAATATTTTTAGAGAAAAAATTGTGCTTCTAATCATATATTTCAGTAAAAAAATTGATTTTTTAATCCTATAATTTCAATCAGATATAGTTAAAATCCAATGAACCATTTAAAAACATTGATGAATTTAACTCTTCATCTCTAAAAATTTCATCATATTCTTAAAAGTAAAAAAAATATAAATTAAATCAACCTTTTGTTTGAAAAGACTAAACTCATCAGTATGAAAAGAAAGGGACCTTGTACATATTTGAGCGACATCATAGAAATTAAAAACATTTTTCCTTTTTTTTTTTTATTTGAAAATAGAACTGGTAGCTTAAACCAAATTCATGTTAAGCAATAATTTTGCACCTTTATGTATTGGCAAACCTCTTTACTTAACTTTCTATCATAATATCTACATACACATTTTTTTCAAAGAACTGGACTACGTGAAATCACGGATAATTACTGACAAGTTGAGTGTAATTTCTGCGTGCAAATACTAACACGATTTCATGTCCTTGTAAAACCATGATTGGTTAACATAAAAAACACATTTCAATATAAAGAAGAACCAAATTCTTCATCAATAATTACCTATCAACTAATTGGTCAAGTGGTTTTATTCTAGGTAGACATTTCATCACATTTTTAAACTTCCTTGCATCACTTTAAACCAAAGGCATTATGAAATCCCAAGTAACCATTGTAAAAAAGAAAAAAACACTAAAACTACTCTAGACTCTATTAAAGTAGTAACATAACACCAGCGTCAGAAGGGGCATGAATTACTGTATAACTTGTATCCAAATGCGATTGTTTTGGCAAAACGTTCCATTTTTAGTGATGTATGCATTCATTGCCTGAGTCCTTGAATGGAAACGTACTGTGGCCAACTTAATGGGATCTGCAGTCCCACCTTCTCCTTGCCTGAAAACAAGAGAACCATCATTTTGAGAATCATGAAATCAAGCGTGCATTTGTTTCAAGGTATAAAATCCCGAGAAAGCGAACTTGAGAATGACATTCTCATGTTTGAGACAAGTTTTGTAAAATATAAAATAGATGTTAACCTCAAAAAAAGGTTTATGGAGTTGGAATCAAATTCACAACCGGACAGGATGCGCACTACATCTTCAAATGCAGCAGTTCGAGGAATTCCTTGAATCAAAATCTAACAAAATTAGACACTGTTAGATAAATGTTGTGTTACCACAGTGATGTTTGCATAAACCAAAAATTATAACACTTCAACTAATAGTCTTCAGCTTAAAAAGTGATTCTAAATATAATTTCAGTTTTAGCCACCAAATCAAATATTCACTTAGCCAGCACATCAGTGGTAAATAGAAGCACAACACTAAATACCAAATTTTTTACGGCATTAATACCACAATCTTAGTACTTCCACACTGAAAATCAAAGTGACCTTCTGATTTATATATAATGCATTCAATAAGTCTCGCATAAATAAACTGCAACAATTTGATGTTGTAACCTCATACTATTACGATGTTCTGACATGGAGAATGCACTGAGACTTGCAGTATATCACAAAAACTTAAAACCTTAACTCTTCTACACAAGCCTTGCAATATATACAGCAATTAACAAACCATTTTAATGGTAAAGTATTTCCTAAAACCATGTGCTGCAAAGGATTCCAAACAGTGCGACTCTAAATGACATGTTTAATCTATGCAGGCAGGCGTAATAACATGAGAATTCATCAGAATGCAACACCTTGATCCTGACTATAACAACAACAGCCTATACTTTCATAATCCGAAGGGGAGTAATTTTTTGGTTAAAATGGAAAAAAAGTTTCAGATTTTAGACATTCACTAATAATCTGATTTTACTGTTATTCCTCATAAATCAGAGTAGAGTAGAGTTGTAGATCTTACGTAAAAGATCAAGAGTTGTAAATTTTCCATTATCCAGGGAATAATAATAAACATAAAAACAATAAGAAAATCATAGGATTCTGGGCAGAAACTGTATTACATCATGCTCTCTATTTTACTCGATCAAAATTATCTTAACACAACTTCTCCATATAAACTTCGTAAACACAGTTAGTTCCATGTTGGTATAAATTTCGGAATGTGTTGTAATAAATTAGATTAAAAAATTTTCAAACCTAGGCATTGATTAATAGGCCTCTAGCAGTTTCAGCAACTGGTTATTTATATTTATGACAAACCATAAAAAAATAATTACTATTCTAAAAACAAGATAAGCAAAGATAGTTAAGAATCTCCACTGACAGTTTTTCCATCATATGGTTTTACTTGGTCCCATTCAGATCGATCAGCCTGACATTAGAAAAGGAACAAAATATCAAACATTTTCCAATTAAAAACAAATATAAAACTATTTTCTTTTTGCACAGAACATATATGCAGAGCAGCATACCCTGTCCAATTTGTATAAGCGACCTTTCTTTACAATCACCCTTATAGCATTGTCATAGGAATTACGAGTGGGGAATTGCAACAACCTGATGATACCCACAACTTCAGTTTAAATGATAATTTCAAGTATACAAACTAAGATGAGGCCCATTTAGAAAATACAATAACAATCCACTTTAAGGATGTTAGCAATGCTAGATGATTAAATGGCGGAGAGTCATGCAGATGAACCAAGGTTTTAACAAAATGCTAATCTAGCAATTGAGGAACAAAAAGAGAGGGAAATCAGTTAGAATAAAAAGGGAAGAAAGAGGTAGGCAATAAACGGATAGGGAGAGGAAGGCCAGCACATCCCCAAAAAGCTACTCTTTATCTTTTCACTTTTCCTGTATTATGATTCTACCTCAGCAATAGGGACTATTTTAACTTATCTTCAACGATATACATGGGCTCATATTACAGGACACGTATAACAAAATTTAACACTCCATATTTTGGAAAGCCCCCTTAATTACAGTTCAAAGTGGTGTTAAGTTTTAGGGACACTAAAAATATGACGTAAACAGAACTAGCATAGATCTTGGACAGTATTCACCTGACAAGTTGGTTTTATAAGATTATATTAAGCCTTGAAAGTCCAAATTCTAAGATCATGACATGTAACAAACAAGTATATAATGAAATTGAACTTTCCCTTTTGTTCTCCCAAACATCATTGAAAGTAAACAAAATTAAAATTCCATCTGTAGCCATCAAATGCACTGATTATATTTCTATGCCAAAATACTAAAACTTTCATAATACCCCTAAGCAAGACAAAAGATGGAATACGTTACGTTGAAACTGGAAAAAAGCTACGGTTGTAATCCATTTTAACATCCTCCAGGGTCAAATCACAACCTTCAAGGAAGTTGATGATATCTGTTTTCAGTATATGTTTACGAACGCCAAACAGCTTACCATATGTCACACCTAATGAAAGAAGGAGAAAGGAAAACAGTTACTACCTTGGATGGAAATTACTTAAACTAATAAAAGAACTGTAAAGAGTTAGAAGGTATTACTTAAATAACATGGCTACCAGTGAATGGGTTACATATATAACACCTTATTTTCAAAATCCAAATGTATTTTAGTGGGCCAAATGTAAGCAGAAATATATTGTCACTTGCATCAACGACATTGGGTCTATTTGTTTAAACCTTTTTTAGAAAAAAATATTCAATAAAATAACTTATTATGATTTAAAGAATGTGTTGGGTAAACTAATTTAAGAAGCAGAAGTAGAAAAAAGAAAAAGAAAAAGAAAGAAGCAATTTTCAGCTTCTTTATTAGCAACTTGGAGTTGCTTCTCATAAAAAGCAAATACGGTATAAGAGAGTTTTTATAAAAAAATAAAAAAAAATAAATAATATTAATTTTTCAGCAATCGCTTTGTTTTTAAGCACAAACAAACAAACACATTATACTGTATGCCAAATTCCTATAATTTCATGTTTATATTATTTTCACATTATCAAATCCGTAAACTATTTGGCCTTTGATATTTAGTAATACACATGAATAGACATGAGGATTAAGCAAAAACATAAAACACCCAATAATGATGATAACGTCAACAACATGGATGAGGAGGATTTTTCCTGGCATCTCACTTCTGAAAAATAAACAGCAAATTATTTGAAATTAACAGTTATATATAGAGAAAGGGATGCATTCCACCTTTTTCATTCTCTTATCTCCCCTTGTAAAGCTTACCATGAGCCTTACGTAGGACCCAAATAAACTTCAAAGTTCTATATAGAAGGTTACTAGACGATCTAACATGGAATTCCTCATTTGAATAAATAACTATAACTTAAAAATGAAATATCAGCCCACTTTTTTCTTTCCTTCAAACTCCTCCATCCTAACATACTGTGTGGAGTTAGGTTCAGGAGGGAAAGAAGGGAATGACTGAATTTTCTTTCTTTGTAATAAAGATTCTCTCATTTCATAGTTTTATAAAGCAAGAGTATTAGAGAATTCTTTCTGTTTTGATTTTATTAGAATCTGTTTGTATACGTATTATGTTTTCTGCCATTCTATCGTGTATTCTGTTACAAAAGGGATGACTCATTCTTTATCAGGACAGCTATATTCTATCCCTGAAACACATATATGTACTCTTGTATCCTCACTCTTGATGCAATGAGAAATATCATAATTTCATTTCAGTTTTCTTTCCTTTACATTTTCAAACATGGTATCCAGAGCCTCTACAGACCCGTCCTTCCAGTTGCGCACCCACCCTTTCAATAGTCTAGTTCCGGTAGAAATAAATTAATACATTAACATACTTAATATGTTAATCTTTTGTTTATTGTCACAAACGTTGCACATTCTCTTAATTTAAAAAAAAAAAAATATCCCCTTCTTCTCCTTTAGCCAATTGAATAACAAATACTTAATATGTTAATCTTTTGTTTAGTTTTACTAATATTATATAACTCATAATTTTAAAATAAAATATCCTCCTCCCCCTCTTCTCCTCCAAAACCTAACTGCCAAACATATCCTAAAGATACAGATACTCCCATGAAACATGAACCACTCCCTACTATCTCTATGGCTGCATCAGCCACTCTTGTCCGCAATTTCCGGCAATATCAAGGAATACGGCAAAAACACTACCGTGTTCGCCATTTAAAAACCCGAGTCGCGGTACAATTAATATTTCACGAAGACTAAGGCAACACTAAGAGCAACAGAAATGGGAGAATAAGTGCATAAATAGTGTGGTACCAGAATGCTTAATGTCCAAGAATGGAGGAGGGGGAGTTGAATCCAGAGGTGGCTGTTCAGCTTCAGTGGAGAAACACCTCACTGGGAGGCCATGACTTCTCTGAACAAGTGCACAAAGACTTGTAGTGCACTTGGATCTCAATGCAGCCCTAGCAATACCAGTCATCATCCACTACACACCTGCTATTTCCAAACCATAAAATGAGAAGTAAAAAAATAACAATACCCACCACCCTATTCATTTTGTACATGAAGCATAAACAAATACACTTTTTTTGTAAGCGGAAACACGATCGAAGAAACTGTCAAAACGAAAATGAAAATGAAAATGAAAATGTGTAGGGAAAAAGATTATACCTTTGCGAAGGTACTTGTTTCGAGTTTGATACCTTGGTCGCCCGCGAGAAGATTGGGGAAGCAGTGCAGTGAGAAAGAGCACACATAAACTGAAGGAAGTGGGTTTTGTTTTAGGTGACTGATGGGCCTATTACTGTTTCCAAACGGCCCACCTTCGTGTTTGTTCTGCCCAATAATGTTTAACGTTCAATTCGATTGTACCCAAGAAAAAAATCTGTGGGAATTATGAAGTTTTAATATACATCTTTCTTAGGGTTTATATATATATATATATATATATATATATATATATATATATATATATATATATATATATATATATATATATATATATGTATTATTATCATATTTTTAATTAATATAAAATTATATAGTATTTAAAAATATAATAAAATATAATATTTTTAATTGATATGAGATTTATTAATATCTAATTTTTATTAATAAGAATTTATATAAATAAATAAAATGATGAGAAAAAAATTATTAAATAAGATTAAAATTTTGAATAAGTTTCAACTAATAAAAAAGAGTATTTATAATATTTTGTTAGAATTTATAAATAAATTAATTTAATTATGTGACTAATGTGAACTATAATTATTGGTTACTATGAAAAGTTTTAAAACAAATGGTAACTAACCAAGTGCACAATACGGGGAATTATCCCACTTAGTAGATAAAATGAGGAGTTATCCAATTTAGTAGATAACATGAGAAGTTATCCAATTTAGTAGATAGTACGAGGAGTTATATTTGAAAATTGATAGTAACCAACTTGATGGAAGTTATCTATATAAAGAAAATAAGGGTTCTATCTTTAACATAAAGATTTCTTACTGTTAACCATCAGAAAGTGTGAGAAAAAAAAATGCCAAAAGATAGATTCGGAAAAGGAAATTGGAAAAAAGAAAGAATAGAGAACATATTTGCATTGAATCTTTCATGAATCAATATTAGTATCTCTTTATCGTGATTTATGTGAATGTATGAAAATCATAAATTTTAAAATCCTATAGAGTAGTCTTTCAGAATTGAATTAAAAATACATGAAAATTATTCGAACTAACATGTGGTATCAAAACATCTTTGTTAAATTTATGATTATCCTCTTCTGTGGTGAATCTTAGCCATTGGTTCTAGTGGTCAAATAATATATTATTAAAGAATAATAAATAAATATAAAAGGGTAAAAGAAGATGAAAGGGTGAAAGAAGATGAAAGGGTGAAAGGATAAAATTGTAAATGTATAAGTAAATATATAAAATGATCATTAAGTTTGGGAGACAAAATCATAAATTATATAAGAGTTACAAAATAAAGGAGACCGAGAGGATAAAATTGTAAATATACAAGTAAATATATTAAAGTTTGGATGGACCAAAATCATAAATTACATGGGAGTTACAAAACTTTGGGGGGTCACGATCCTCCTTAATTCCCCAAGAAGATCCGTTACTGCTCCTCTTATTATGTTTCTCAAAGTATGTTTTTCCCAAAGTTAAAAATCCTATTTATGAAATATAGGGATTTTATTTTTTCAGTGGAATCTTATGTTTCTGCTACCTATAATGAAATTTATGGATGATTTTTCATTATATTACAAATTAAATGCATATTATGAATTAATTGGAGAGTGTGATCTAGAAAAAGCCATATAATGTTCGAAAAAACCACTCTCTTTATAGTATAGTTAACATTGATATTATTAGTAGTGATAAAAAAATTTAGGTTAGATTTTGAAGAAGAGTCTGATGTCAATATCTCATAAAATACACATAAAAGATATCAAGTGCAATGATGAATGCTATTGCATTATGTCCGCACATTAAATTTATGTGAATTGCAAATGATGTTTTTATTTTATTATATGAATAATGTATTTTTAAATTGAAAGGTGGATCATTATAAATTAAAAAGCTTAAAAATGGAAAAAATGAATTCCCTTGTCACGTGAATAGATTCAAAATCAAATGTTTTAATTTGAAATGTTGAATGACTTGTTTGGGTTTGTTGAATATAGAGGAAATAGGATTTGAGATTAATCTCCTTTGTGTATAAACCACATATAGGATAATCTATTTATAATAGAGAGAGGTACCACTAAAAGAGTAATCGGAAGTAAACAAAATAAACAGAAGATATTGTTTGATATTGTGGTTAACAATATCTTAACAATATCTAACACTCCCCCTCAAGTTAGAGCATACAAATCGTATGTGTCAAGCTTGTTACAAATATAATCAATTCTAGGCCCCCGTAAAGACTTAGTAAAAATATCTGTTAATTGATCACTTGAGTTAACAAACTCAGTCTTGATGTCTCTAAACATAATCTTTTCTCGAATGAAATAACAGTCAATCTCAATGTGTTTGGTCCTCTCATGAAAGACAGGATTAGAGCTAATATGAAGAATATCCTGATTGTCACACACAAGTGTCATTTGAGTGACATTTTCAAATTGTAACTCTCTAAGCAATTGCTTGAGCCAAACAAGTTCACAGGAAGCTGATGCCATAGCTCTATATTCTACTTCTGCACTGGATCTTGCCACAACACTTTGTTTTTTACTTTTCCATGAAATCAAGTTACCACCAATGGAGACACAATATCCAGATGTAGATCTTCTATCCGAAGGAGATCTTGCCCAATCAGCATCTGAGTAACAAACAACTTTTGTATGGTTATTAGAACCATATAACAATCCTTTTCCAAGAGATCCTTTAATATACTTCAAGATACGAATGACTGCATTCCAATGATCTTCACATGGGGAATTAAGAAATTGGCTTACCACACTGACTGTAAATGAAATGTCAGGACGAGTAACTGTAAGATAATTCAATTTTTTATACTGCTCAGGATCAGATATAGGCTCCCCCTGATTTGGTAGAAGTTTAGTATTGGGATCCATGGGTGTATCAACAAACTTTGAAATCATCAACCCAGTTTCCTCCAAAATATCCATGGCATACTTCCTCTGAGATATAGCAATACCATAATTGGATTATGTCACCTCAATACCCAAGAAATATCTAAGTTTGCCAAGATCTTTGGTCTAAAAATGGTGACATAGATGTTGTTTCAACTGAGAGATGTCATGGTTGTCACTACTTGTAAGAACAATGTCATCAATATATACTATCAAGTAAACACATTCAGCACTCGAGTGTCGATAAAAGATAGAATGATCTGCTTCACATCGAGTCATACCAAATTGTTGAACAACCTTGCTAAACTTTCCAAACTAGGCCCTAAGAGACTATTTTAGGCCATATAGGGATTTGCGAAGACGACATACCATCCCAGAAGACTCCCCCTAAGCAACAAACCTAGGAGGTTGCTCCATATAAATTTCTTCTTGCAAATCACCATTGAGGAAAACATTTTTAACATCCAGTTGATAAAGATGCCATTGTTGAAGAGCGGTCATGACGATAAATAAACGAACTGAAGCCATATTTGCCACGGGGGAAAAGGTATCTCCATAATCCAACCCAAAAATTTGAGTATAACCTTTGACCACAAGACGAGCTTTAAGGCGATCAATAGTACCATCAGGTCCAACTTTGATAGCAAACACCCACCTGCAACCAACAATAGATTTCCTAGACGATAACGGGACCAATTCCCAAGTTCCACTATTATGAAGAACACTTAGTTCATCTAACATGGCCTGACGCCTTCAAGGATGGGCTAAAGCTTCACGTACAATTTTTGGAATGGTCACAGAAGAAATAGAGGTGATCTAGGAGAAATCTTATCAAGACCAAGACTTAAATTATGAACAAAACATGTAGACCCGAAAAATCTTAGAGGTAAGGAATGAAGAGGTTCATGAGGGAATAAAATGGAATGAGGTATTTTATTATCTAAAACCGAAGAAGGCATATGATTAACGAGATAACATGCAGTAAGAAGAGCATCATCCCAAAAATGTTGAGGAACCTCTCCATGAATTAAAAGAGTGTGAGTTGTTTCAATAAGATGTCTATTTTTGCGTTCAGCTACACCATTTTGTTGAGGTGTATAAGCACAAGAAGTTTGATGGAGGATACCGTGAGAAGCCATGAATTGTTTAAAAGAATGAGAAAGATATTCACGACCATTATCATTGCGCAAAACTCTAATAGAAACACCGAGCTGAGTTTGAATTTCATTGAAAAAAGTTTAAAAGATATGAAATAATTCAGAACGATTTTTCATCAAAAATAACCAAGTGCATCTGGAATAACCATCAATGAAAGTAACAAAGTATTGAAAACCTAAAGTAAACTTAACACGGCCAGGTCCCCAAATGTCAGAGTGAACCACGACAAAAGGGGACGAAGCACCAGTGTGACACTACGAGGAAAGGAAGTACGACTATACTTGCCTAATTGACACGACTCACACATCAAACTAGACAAGTTGGACAAGGCAGGGACAAGTTTTTGTAACTTGGCAAGACTTGGATGACCTAACTGAGCATGAAGAAGAGAGGGAGATTCCATAACTGCACCAATATGTGTAGAGGGACGGAGATGATAAAGACCACGAGACTTACATCCTGTGCCAATCACCTATTTCGAACTCCAGTCCTATAAACACACATAATTATTGGTAAAAGAAACAACACAATCAAGAGAATGAATTAGACGACTGATGGACAACAGGTTAAAAGGAGACCTAGGGACATAAAGAACATTATCAATAATTAAAAAAGGAAAAAGTTTAACAGTTCCAACACCATGAGATGATACTCTAGAGTCATCAGCCAGTGTAATAGAAGATAAAGGATTAGGAAAGGATAAAGAGGAAAATAAAGATTTG